TCCCCCACCCCCCCCCCCTCCGAAGAGATGCCTTGGAGAAACTCTGGGTAAAGGTTACATGTGATAATCTTACAATGGTTGTATTTTAACTACTGGCTATTTGATGTTACCATTACCTTTTGATTATCCATCTTGTACCATGTATAATTACCTGTCTGACTTCCTGTCTGTGGGTAACGCCCACCTCCCCCCCCCCCTTCCGCACATTTTCTTATTTATACATAAAAAGTATCTTCTGGTTAAGAAATTCCTAATGAATTTCTCTTTCTAGACTACCTCTATTTATCTCCCCCCCCCTCATCCCCTATCTTCCTATTGTTCGCTCTCTAATCTGTTTCTTTATAACATTCTTTTCTTTATCTCTTATCTCTTTTTTATTCTTCGGAAAAAAAATATCCATTAAATTTTTTTTTCTTATTGCTTTTCACTCTTTATAATTTATAATTTATTTACATTCCCGAAATGAAAAAAAAAATTCAAAGTTAATTTTCCCATAGCTTGTCAGGTCGATATACCCCTCCCCCATACCCCATTGACCAACTATCCGTCCCACCCTCGGTTAGAACGAAGCTTTAAAAAAACTGTTTTAATCATGTAGCTGTATCGATTAGTAGTGCAATGTCATAATGACGGCCGCCATGAAATCAGGTGGCTTCCCCTTGTTATCACGTCATGCGGTTACGTCCCATTTAGTGATTTCCCAGAGTTACGTCCCATTTAGTGAGTTTCCCAGAGTTACGTCCCATTTAGTGAGTTTCCAAGAGTTACGTCCCATTTAGTGAGTTTCCCGGAGTTACTTCCCATTTAGTGAGTTTCCCAGAGTTACGTCCCTTTTTAGTGAGTTTCCCAGAGTTACGTCCCATTAGTGAGTTTCCAGAGTTACGTCCCATTTAGTGAGTTTCCCAGAGTTACGTCCCATTTAGTGAGTTTCCCAGAGTTACGTCCCTTTTTAGTGAGTTTCTCAGAGTTACGTCCCTTTTTAGTGAGTTTCCCAAAGTTACGTCCCATTTAGTGAGTTTCCCAGAGTTACGGTCCCCATTTAGTGAGTTTCCCAGAGTTACGTCCCATTGAGTGAGTTTCCACGACTTGAGGACTTGGGTCTTTCAGACGGGCAGACAAGGGCTAATGGTAAGGTACTGGTGTGTTGTTGTTTTTTTCTTAGTTATAGTATACAGCTAGGTAGTACTACAATCAGTGTTTATTAATTGTAAATAGAATTTATAGTGTGTGTCTGTTTGTGGAAGGGGGTGGCATTTGGCCTTAAAGAAATCACATCTGGAAGGGAAATAGAAATATGACTTTTATGAAGATGTGCTTATAAGAAGAGGTGATTTGGGGGGGGGGGAAGGAGTTGACAATTTTTTTTATTTTTAAAATTGAAAATTGTGACGAGATTTTATTTTTAAAATTGTGTTAAAAAATAGTTTTCGTTACAACAATGCGATTATAAAATACAAGACGGGAGATTAATGAAATAATTAATTAACATTAACCTTTTTTTCACCTTTCTGATACCTCTTTGAGTTAGAGTCCAATAAAACTGGGGGGAGGGGGGGGGGAAGGGGAATAAGAAAGCTACACGGAGAGAAAAGGTGGGGTTGAAGACATTGTTAGAAGAGGGATCGCATTCCAAAAGAATGTTGGGTATTGATGCACCCTGTCACTTTTCTTCCTGATCTGTCATTCTCACTGGACTAATGTCACCCTAGAGAGCTGTTCAATGAAGCGTAGCCCATAAATACTAAGTATTAGTAAGTTTGTTAGGCAGGGTATCTAAGTGAGTACGGGGAGGTGAGCGTCACAACACCCACCCCCCTTCCGTTTTAATTTTACAAGAGCACCGCAGTGTTTCTTCCAGAAATTTTTCTCCCGGGGGGGGGGGGGGGCACTTGAAATTTTCGGCGGGGGGGGGGGGGGGGGGGGGCGGACTAAAATTTCTTGGGGGGGGGGGGCGGACACGATTAAAGTATATATTTTCTATATAAATTCCATTTCGTTCGGAGGAGGGGGGGGGGCGGTAGACTCTCTTCGGGGAGATGCCTGGAAAAACTCTGAGAGCACGTCAAAATCGAAATGCCGCTGCTGTATAAAAAAAATACATGGTCCTTGGGGTGCCGTATACGGGTACGCCCCTTGTGATGTGGTTGGGTCTTTAGAAGCTGTCCCCCCCCCCCCCCCACACACACACACACACATGCAGATACATTCCTCCCTTAATTCACGCCCCTCCACACCGAACCAATTTTATGACGAAGCCCACTGCATTGATTGCGATACTACGCAGGAAAAGATGCGCAACTCTGCCATTACCAAGTTCGATTAATCTTGTATTATTTCCCTTGATTGAGCTGACACACAAGTGTTGTATTTAGTGCGCTGCACAATCCCCACGAGATTACGAACAAAAATAAGCAAGGGGAGGTAATAGATAAAAACAAAGAATGCCAGTGTTTTCATTGGTCAATCAGCAGAGCGTGACGAAGGTTCGAATCCAACCATCGATAATTGGATGAACTTGAGCAAGGTCAAGGGTAAAAGCTTGATGTCATGATAATGTGGGTAGTCATATTTTATCCAAAACAAAAACTTAGGGGTGGGGGATAATATTGTGAACTTGTGATGGGACAATACGATTTAGTGTTTTTCTGATGGTACTGTTGTTGATGTTATGTGTAGAGTACATAGCATGGTTAGGATCAGGGTTAGGTTTGGTTGAGGTTCAGGATTTAAAAAAAGGGGTCATCCAAAAATGACGTCACGCTTTTTTGACGATTTTTAACCTCCCCCCCCCCCCTCCCCCTCCGTCACACGTTGTCCCAAAAAGCCACACCCTCCCGACTAAAATGACGTCACACATCAGCCTACAACCCCTCTCAAAATTGCTATTGAATGTTTCTTAAAACATCGATATATTTTCTAAAATCTTGTCTGAACTCTGTCAACATAGAGTATTTTGATCAATTTCTATTATAACTTATTAGTTTTGTAAAACGCGAAATAACGTCTACAACTCGTTTTCTAACATTGCTTTTGTATAATGCAAAAGTGAGACTTCCTGTCGAGGGAGGGACTTTGATAGTTTAGTTTCTGACTGTTCTTGCGTGAGCTTGATATGCTTTAGAGTAGTTCTTCTTTTTTTGGAGGTACCAAACTCCACCAGTTTCATAAAAACATTCACCGAACCCTTCTTTATAGTTCTATCGTCTGCGCTGACAAAATCCGATCTTAAATCATATGAGTCGGGTGTGTCTTGACCTCCGTCTAGCCTCTGAGACTGACTCACCGAAACTCTGGGGTTCGATCGAACCCAGGTTAGGAACCACTACTTTAGAGTGGCTATCACTACGCCACTCACCCCTCCATCTCTCTCTCACACACTGTCTCTTTCTGAAAGGATTGAATTGAAAATTGTGAATGTTTTTTGTTTGTGACGTCGATCTGTTTTAAAACAAGGGAGATAAAAATTGAGATGAAATTGATCACCGTGTAAATTGAGATAAACTGTTAGCTCATCGAAATCCAACACAATAATGTTCAGTAATTGCAGAAAAAATATTTTAAACAGTTCAATTTATCAGTAGTAACTAACATTAATATTCGTGGTGATGGGGAGGGGGGGGGGATTTACCCAGCTGCACAATATAAATGTTACAACGACAACAAAACTTGAGGCACGATGTCGTTTCATTGAACCTGTTTCACCGACACTGTCTTCGCCGAATCTTCATTCGCTCTTTTCAATCTTTTTCCCACCAACAAAAAAAGTCATTAATCATTAATAAATTAACAACATTATGTTTTGTTCATCACAGTTTGTCGTCCTTGAATGATGCAGCAGATTTTATGTGTTGGAATTTTTTAACGTGTGATGGATGAGATATTTAACCATAATTGCACTTTTCTTTATACATGAACCTCTAGTTAAAAATGTATAAAGACTTTTACTGCCTTTTAAGAAAATTAAAATTTTAACAAGTGAACTGAAGATGTCTGCTGAAGTGATTATAACAAAAATCAACAAATAATTACAAGTTCTGTAGTTTATTGTGAACGCGGTATAAATAATATTTCTGTAGCATTAGCTTTTCTATATTTAGACTGGGTTGAGGAATATTAAGACCACAAAGTAGAAGGAACCTTGAGACATAGGTGTGTGGCGAGAAGATACTTGCTAACACGTGCCAGGTATTTATTATAGCTGGGGAGGCTCAGGAACAATTTATATTTATGTATACAAAAAAAAAATAAGAAAAAAAGAAACCGGGATTTGTACCAATTTGTGAGATGAGGACGTTGGAGGGCCAACCCGTTAGCATTTTTTCAGTTCCTTGATTCCACCAAGATTTTTCAAAATTCTTTTACATGCTTAGTCCAAAGTAGGCTACTCCTTCAATCAATGACATAGAACGTTCTGGATTTAAATGGCTACCAACCAAGGTACTTAACTAACTAGGTTACAAACATCGAATTAATTATCACGTTTTTAAACAAGCCCTCCGCCACACCACCATAGCCCCCTACTGATGAATCCGAGGCACGTTTGTTCTTCATTATCCCCAAAGTTATTTTAAGACCCGCGAGCAGGCAGCGCCCTCTGCGTTAAAAATGAATAATCACAGACAAACTCGTGGAATATTCCCGTCCCCCCACTTGTCCACGCCTCTGTCAACAAACTTTGCATTTGGTCCATGTCTCTAGCCTTGTTGACCGACTCTCTCCATTCTTGTCTTGTTTAACGGTTCGATTATCTCCCCTCTATTGACGCGGGCTGGAGTAACGATTCTCTCCCCTTACGGACGTAGCCTCAACAGCCCGTCAAGAAACGTGATGGAAAACCAAATTCAACAGTGAAGATTTTTTTTTTCTTCAATTAATTACTTTTTAAAATTTTAAATCAGTAATTAATAATGGGCTAATACATAATTAAATGATAAACTGGTTTTATTAATTAAGGCCATCATTATAAAAGGATTTAATTTAAATGTCATATTTAACATTATTGGTAGGACTAGTGAAGAAATTTTTCTCAGACTATGAGTTAAATACAAGTAAAGTTTAACAATTAATTACACTGTAATTGTACCCAGGATTTTCATCACAAGAATATAACATTCATAATGTAAACAGACAAGACTCCATCATTCTGTGATACTACGTAAGTAATACATTTATTTTTAAAAATTCCAGAAAGAAAGTAATCAATAATATACAAAGATTTTTACTACTAAGTAATACATTTAATTTTTAAAAATTAGGTAAAGAAAGTAATCAATAATATACAAATATTTTTACTGTTACAAAAGACAATATGTATCATTTTAATAATAAAAAAGTGAATTTTAATTAATCCATTATTATCCAAAATGTGATTACTTATCACTATGTGAATAATTCAGGTGTTAAAAGGAGATTCAGAAAAGATGAGGTTAGCATCAAGTAAACTGGTTTACTAGATGAAATACAAATATACAGCAAAGAAAAATGTGAAATTAGAAAAGGATGTACAGTGTCATAGTTACAGAGGGAATTGATGTTGATGCTGTGGTTATTTAGAGCTGCACACTTGGTCAAGCTGAGGTTGTGCAGAGCTACTGCGCAATTTGAGTTGTAAAGCTGAAACAGTGAGTTAGGTTTCCAGAAAATCTTTTCGACTGGATGTGAGCCCCTCATTCATATGAGTTTTATCTTTGCTAGAATGTATTTCTAGAAGACATCACTATAAAATATCCTTGATTGTAAATCCACAATCAAATGTTTTTTATCTATTAGAAATGTCCCCAAATGAACTTTGATCTATAGGATATGTTTTCCCCCAAATGATCTTTAAACATGTCTAGATATTTCCACAAATTATCTTTTATTTTTAATAGGAATTGTCCCCCAAATGATCTTTGATCTTGTCTGAAAAATATTATCCTCAAAAGATCTTTGATGTTTAAAAAATGCTGTTTCTAAACAATCTGTGATCTTGTTTTAAAATGTTCTAATGATCTTTGATCTTGCTTAAAAAATGTGGTCCCCCAAATGATCTTTGATCTCATCCTCTGTGGCACACCTCAGCAAACAAAACAAGGCACGTTTATAGGACTGGTTGTTGCAGGCCTCAGTCTGAAAGTGAAGGGGAAATAATCATGTACTCAGTGCTGTGAGCAATGGAGACGTCAGCACTACAGAATAGCTGAGTCTGGTAGAGGGGAGATGGGTTAAATACATGAGGCATGGAGTAGAAGATATTAGAGCAGTATGAGGAAACTATGTTCTGCAGACAAAATTATTTTAATTATATTAAGACTAGAAATAAATTTTTAAAAAAGTGGAGAAAAATAAAATATGTACTAGGGGAGAGCAATAAATAAATATGAAGATAGGTATAAAAGTAGATTAACTCCCTTCAATAAGAAAACAGGTGCTTACCCCTTTGATAATTCCAGCTAAATATTTGAGACACTCTTCCCGATCTCTAGAATCCAGTAGATAAATCACTCTGTAATTAGTTGAAGCATTTTAGAAATTTGTATATTGTAAAATTTCTAAATATGTTATTTTGTTTTTCAATAATTATTTAAATTATTTAAAAATCTCACCTTTTTACAATGTCCTCTTCATTGACAGTCAAGTCACATACAACATCAAATGTCATGGTCTGTTAAATTAAAAAAATGTTACATCAATGTTTATTTTTTATAAAAAAAAATTTGGGTAAAAAACTACCTTGAATAATGTTTTATTTTCCAGACAAATATTAGAGGTTAAATGGGGGTAAAAAAAGAAAAATCTCAGCAACTGACTCAAAGAATATAAAAAACATTGTTTTTAAAAAAAAATTAAATCTATATTTATTAGGTAATTAAAACTATGTCATCTGCCAATTAAACCTGCAGAAGAAATAAGAATTTCTCCTTCATTCTTAAAATAATTAATTAAGTAATGTTTGATGGGGTTTCCTTCAACACAATTAATTATTGTAAGTGTCAATCTGTTTAGCACTATATAGGCTGTTGACTCTAATTTCAGCCTGCTTTTCTTTTAAGACTTGCTTCCATAGCCTTTGTCCACCCAAGAACAAAATACAAAGCAGCAGTTGTTTGATTTTGGAGTTGTCTCTCCTAGATGGGTTGCTGTCCCCAGTTATTGCTATATGGCCAATGTTTGAACATGGAACTTTTTAGTTTAGCAAGTATGATCTTTACCAACCCATCCATGCCAACCCAAACAAGTTTTGAAAATCATGATATCTGTTCAGTTTCATTATCCTTGCAACCAGCAGTGTAAACAACTTTTTTAAGATTCCCATTATCCAGTATAGAATAGAAACCAGCATGTTTTCTCTGTAACAATCTTGCTACTAAACAGCTTCATTATACTTGTAAACAGTTTAAACAATTTTTTAAAAATTCTGTTACCTGATCAGCATCAGCAATGGCTGTAGCTCCCAGAACCCACTTGTCTATGAGAGAGAGGCGGAGCTCCAACAGGTTGATACCATGCTGGTCAGCTATTTCCTCACACAGCTTGTTGATATCTGGGTAATAAAATCACAGCAGGTTAACAAATTAGCTAATGCTGGGCCTGGCTTATGGGACAGCTTGTTTATATCTGGATGTCTGGCTTATGGGACAGCTAATTTATATCTGGATGCCTGGCTTATGGGACAGCTAATTTATATCTGGATGTCTGGCTTATGGGACAGCTAATTTATATCTGGATGTCTGGCTTATGGGACAACTAATTTATATCTGGATGTCTGGCTTATGGGACAGCTAATTTATATCTGGATGTCTGGCTTATGGGACAGCTAATTTATATCTGGATGCCTGGCTTATGGGACAGCTTGTTTATATCTAGATGCCTGGCTTATGGGACAGCTTGTTTATATATGGATGCCTGGATTATGGGACAGCTTGTTTATATCTGGATGCCTGGCTTATGGGACAGCTTGTTTATATCTGGATGCCTGGCTTATGGGACAGCTTGTTTATATCTAGATGCCTGGCTTATGGGACAGCTTGTTTATATCTGGATGCCTGGCTTATGGGACAGCTTGTTTATATCTGGATGCCTGGCTTATGGGACAGCTTGTTTATATCTAGATGCCTGGCTTATGGGACAGCTTGTTTATATCTGGATGTCTGGCTTATGGGACAGCTTGGTTGAGTGGTAGACAAAACAACTGCAAATACCAGCCTCAAATTTGGTTCCTCTGCCCACCCACACATAAAGCTAACTTTAATAGAAAAATAAATTTTTCAACCTCCTTTCTTGCTGGCATCTTTTGTTTTATCAGCCGAGTTGACTATACAAGGGAGGGAGTACAGCTGTTGGATCAACTCCTCTGGCTGTTTGACAAGTTTCCGCAGCTCCCCCTCCCCCTGCAGCCCCGCCTTACACAGGGACCAGTGGGTGGAGAAGAAGGCAAGTTTGTTGGTGAACATCTGCTGTGTCAGCTGGGCTTTAGGTTTGATCTGGGGCTACAAGTATGGGAAGGTTTTTCATTTATCAAATAGTGTTGGCAATTTTTTTTAATTTAGAAAGTTTCTAAATTATTTGAGTTAGATAAGAAAAACTGTTTTTATATTTAAATAAAATAAAAATAAATACAGAGGCCTACCTATTATTATTGCAATAAACAATTTAACTGAATTTTAATTTAGATATATTTTGTATTCTGCAAACCATTAACATTTTTTTCTTAAATTTTGGGAATACCCTTTTACATGTTTAATGGGATAGTTACAGTTTAGATGAAAATGTTTTTTTCATACTTTATAAAATATGATGTCATTATTTATGAATATAATTTTAAGTATGAGACTAATATAAAATAAATATGAATACAAATAATACTAACATCGTCTGTTGAATGAAGCCACGTATCCACACGACTGACACACCCCCTGAGGGCCAGGGTTTTCTCCCCCACTGTGAAAATAATTTTGAGAGTTGTTCCCCATTTAAACAATGTTTGAATTTCAAGGTCAGATAAACAATAAAACAATTAGTTAAAAATCAAAATATAGCTTATAACTATAAAAAATTTATTATTTAAATAACAGCTAGAATTAATATATTTACTACTTTAATAATACAAATTGTATTATTAAAGTAGTAATTGTATAATTTTAGCTATTATTTAAATAATTAATTTTTTTAATGTAATTAAAACATCAAAAATTTCCTATTCATGGAAGTAAAAGGTATTTATTTCCCCTTTTTAACTGACTAATGACAGAAATTTGCAATAAAAACTGTGCTCATACCATTGGTGATTTTCTCTAGGAAAGAATGACAAAACCACATAGCACACTCCTTCCTCTCAACAAGGGAGAGAACTTTATCAATCTGCACCAGCAGGGTACAGAACTCATCACTGACTTTGCCTGGTGTTGACAGCGCCGATGAGGTTTTGAGGTAGTCTTCCAGCAAGTTGGAGGCCACTTTTAGCACCACATCATCTGGGGTAATCTACCGAAAACATCAACATTTTAAAATAAATCGTTTGATTGCAATTTAATTTTTTTTTTATTTGGCCTGAATAATGGACAGCTAATAAGATAACATACAACATTACATTTACTACACTGCACTACCATTTTTTTAAAAAGTACCTGATCTGATCTAAGCTAATGTTATATATTTGTTTTAAACAATTTCCATGTATGATAATCGTGAATGCGACATAAAAAGAAACCCGTACCAGCAGTACTGGCGCCATGTTGAGCCAGGAACTCAAGGTCTGCAGGTTGAGCTCAGGTGTGATGATCTTCCACCTGTCCTTGCCCACCAGGTGATGATAGGGGAGGCGAGTGGAGCTGATTTCTGGTAGGACGTCAAGCTCAGTCAGCTAGAGGAGATGGTAGGGTCAATAAATGGGGGGGGGGGGGGGGGGGGCAACATTAGAGTAAATAAACAGAGGGGCTATTTGGAGTAAATAATGGAAGGGGCAATATCAAATTAAATAAACAAATGGGAGGGGCTATATTTGTGTAAATTAAAAAATGGGAGGGGCAATATCAGAGTAAATAAACAAATGGGAGGGGCAATATCAGAGTAAATAAAGAAATGGGAGGTGCAATATCATTATCAGAGTAAATAAACAAATGGGAGGGGCAATATCAGAGTAAATAAACAAATGGGAGGGGCTATATTGGAGTAAATAAACAAATGGGAGGGGCACTATCAGAGTAAATAAACAAATGGGAGGGGCAATATCAGATTAAATAAACAAAAGGGAGGGGCTATATCAGAGTAAATAAACAAATGGGAGGGGCAATATCAGATTAAATAAACAAAAGGGAGGGGCTATATCAGAGTAAATAAACAAATGGGAGGGGCAATATCAGAGTAAATAAACAAATGGGAGGGGCAATATCAGAGTAAATAAACAAATGGGAGGGGCAATATCAGAGTAAACAAACAAATCATGTAAACAAATAGGAGGGGCAATTTCAGAATGAACAATGTGAAAATAAAAAGTTCACAAATACTATTGGACTTTCAATAACAGTAATACATATATCATAAGGTTAAATCTAGCACAAAAAGCAATTGCTTACATCTGACACAGAACATTTGCTTAATATACCGACAGAAAGCATTTGCTTACATCTGACACAAAACATTTGCTTACATCTGATACAGAACATTTGCTTACATATACCAACAGAAAACATTTGCTTACATCTGACACAAAACACTTGCTTACATGTACCAACAGAAAACATTTGCTTACATCTAACACAGAACATTTGCTTACATACACTGACAGAAAAAATTCACTTACATCTGCTCCGTGCCCTGCCTCTCCTCTGGGCGTAAAACACTCCCTCCTCTCACTCTCGGTGGGAGGTTTACACCTTGTGTACATCTTCAGGTATCTGAGCAGCTCCAGACCCTGGCAACAAAACAATATATTTATCTGGCCACTGGTTGAAAAAAAATGGAGGCTGATAACAAGCATTTGAACACACAAAAACTGTGATGGTCTCTGTGTAATGTTATTTATTTTTGGCTGCGGCTATTCGTACTTAACTACAAATAGCCCTATGAAGGCTATTCGTACTCTGACCAATCAGCGTGCGGCATTTTTTTTTTTATTCTTGAATTCCCTTTTTCATCTTTTACAAGCTGTATAGATCTAGAACTAATTATTTTTAGATCTCCCTAACCCTATGCCTAAACCTAACCCTAACCCTAATGCTAAACCCTAATCCTTAAGAAAAATTAAAAAAAAAAAGCAAAAAAAAAACAGAAAAAAAAACCTCTGTGCCAGCGGAAATCGAACCCATGCCTCGAAAACCTAATAAGCCAATGCGCAACCACTTCGACCACCGGAACAGGTACGACAAGTTACAAAATTTGAATCTCATACACAGACTGCAGGACAATGAATTTAAAAATAAATTTGATTGGTCGGCTAAAAATAGCGAAGTACGAATAGCCCTCTGAGGGCTATTTGTAGTGAAGTACCAATAGACACTCTCTTTTTTTTAATAAGCAAGCACAAGTTCTGTAAAGTAGCTAGACTAAAGGTGAAATAATTTTTTTGTCCACCAACCCTTGTAGACTCAGCTGTGACTTCCAAGGCAAGAATCTTCTCTAACAAAAACTCTATCACTTCATAATTGTAGCAGTTGACCTGGGAATAGAGGAAAATTTTTGAGTAAAAATTAATCTAAAAAGTAGATATGAATTTTCTTTTGTACTGAATAAAAAGCTGAAAGACAGTGAGTGAAACATGAACTGCCCTCATTAGTCTAAAAGACTTAACCTCGTAATTAGACAAGTCTAACCCTGGTCAGTCAGGTAAGACAAGACTTACCCTGGTCTGACAGACAAGACTTACCTTGGTCAGTCAATCAGACAAGACTTACCTTGGTTAGTCAGGTAAGACAAGACTTACTCTGGTCATACAAGACTTACCCTGGTCAGTCAGACAAGACTTACCCTGGTCAGTCAGACAAGACTTACCCTGGTCAGACAAGACTTACCCTGGTCAATCAGACAAGACTTACCTTGGTTAGTCAGGTAAGACAAGACTTACCTTGGTCAGTCAGACAAGACTTACCTTGGTCAGTCAGACAAGACTTACCTTGGTTAGTCAGGTAAGACAAGACTTACCCTGGTCAGTCAGACAAGACTTACCCTGGTCAGACAAGACTTACCCTGGTCAATCAGACAAGACTTACCTTGGTTAGTCAGGTAAGACAAGACTTACCTTGGTCAGTCAGACAAGACTTACCTTGGTCAGTCAGACAAGACTTACCTTGGTTAGTCAGGTAAGACAAGACGTACCTTGGTCAGTCAGACAAGACTTACCCTGGTCAGACAAGACTTACCCTGGTCAATCAGACAAGACTTACCTTGGTTAGTCAGGTAAGACAAGACTTACCTTGGTCAGTCAGACAAGACTTACCTTGGTCAGTCAGACAAGACTTACCCTGGTCATACAAGACTTACCTTGGTCAGTCAAACAAGACTTACCCTGGTCATACAAGACTTACCTTGGTCAGTCAGACAAGACTTACCCTGGTCATACAAGACTTACCTTGGTCAGTCAGACAAGACTTACCTTGGTCAGTCAGACAAGACTTACCCTGGTCATACAAGACTTACCTTGGTCAGTCAGACAAGACTTACCCTGGTCAGTCAGACAAGACTTACCTTGGTCAGCAGTCGTTTGAGTGTCTCTAGCTTGCTGACTTGAACAGATTTTAAAATAGCTTGAGCCTTGGCTAGCAGGGCTGGGGTGGGGTTGGCGTCGGAATGTTTGGTCAGACACGCCTCAAACATTTTCATCAGGCTGGGGTCCAGATGGTCCACCTCCAGCTTAAAGTCACTGTAGGAACACATCAAGTGTCCAGAGATTATGTGGGTGTTAATCAAGTGTAAGTTAGACCTTAAACTATAAGCTATATGCATAACCTTTAGTTTGTTTCATTGAACATAGTGTGGTCAGCACTGTACCGAGCATAATTTGAAAAAGTAAAGAATCCTCTTTAGACCTAGTGATCCATTGGGCAGATGAAGTAGAGTTCATGTTTCTTGACCTCGGTATACAAAGGGAACGTGTGGTCAGCACTTTGCCCCACCCCCTTTCCCTAACATGAGTTAGGTACCCATCGGAGCTGGACTGACTCAGAGATGTTCTACTAACTTGGAAACAGATTAGAACTCGAGACTTACAGGTTAGCAGAATAGCGCTCAACAGCTTAGGCCACGCCATCCCATATCCAGCATCATTTACTTTGCCCAAACTACCTGGATGGTCAAGTTCTCGCCATGAGCTGATAAAAAAATACACAGAAAAATTTACCGAAAGAATTCTGTTAAAATTTCAACATCACAGTGAGGGCTCTGGACTAGTTTATCTTTGACTTCAAAGGCATCCAGTGGATTGGTTACAGTTGTAGACTTGAAAGGGATCTATGGAAAACATTGTAGTAAACATTATGTAAAGGCATCCAATGGTTACAGTTATAGACTTGAAAGGGATCTATGGAAAACATTTTAGTAAACATTTAAAGGCATCCAACAGTTGTAGACTTGAAAGGGATCTATGGAAAACATTTTAGTAAACATTTAAAGGCATCAACAGGTGTAGACTTAAAGGTATCTATGGAAAAAATTGCAGTAAACATTATTTAAAGGCATCCAGTGGATTGGTCACAGTTGTAAACTTGAAAGGTATCTATGGAAAACATTGTAGTAAACATTATTTAAAGGCATCCAAAGATCACAGTTGTAGACTTGAAAGGGATCTAAGTGAAATAATGATTGCATTATACATTAGGTAAAGGCATTCAACTGGCTAGTTATATTTGTTGTTTTAAACAGAGACTAAAGGTATATTTTATTTAATTACTAGTCAAAGGAGGCACACAACAGGGTTATAGATGTAGATCTTAAACCAGACTAGCTGAAATATTTCTAGATACACTAGTTAAATGCTCCCAACTTGTTAGAGAATTATTGTTTGATCACTTATTCATAAAACCTGAATCTAAACCAACATTAAAATGTAATGTTCACACATTAAATCAATGAAACCAGTGTGGATTTATCAACAAAATATTAGGTACAAACAAATAGCGCCTACACTTACCCCAATCTTGGCCAGCCTGACCCCCCATTTAGCGGTGACTTTAACACTCTGACAGCTGTCAATCAAATTCTGATTGCCAAACATCTCTGATGCAGCATAGGCTATCATGCTGAAGCGCTGGCAAGGGGAGATAATTTATAATATAAGAGGTTAAGCATTCGCTGGCAAGGAAGACAGTTTAAAAGAACTAAGCTCTAAACATCTATATTCAAGGCAAACAATTAAATTAATAAAAATTAAAAATTCACAAAAAATAAAGTTATTTTCTAAAAGGCAAAGCTGCAAGCTATAATTAAAAAGCTAGTTGCAATATTTTTTGAAACATTTAAACTATTTGCTTCTGTTAAATAATTCAACTCAAAATTATACTTTTATAACTGTGTATGAAGTAAGCTGAAATTTGACATCTATGTTTTTGTTATATTAATAAATAAGCCCAAATTAAACCTTTAAAGTTTTCTTGTACTAAAAGAGATATTTTACTTTCAACTTCTTGAAGTTGGTGCCACAAGACTTGATGGAAGATTGTAACAGGCCCACAGCCTGCTTGTTTGGCAGACTCAATACATAAGCCAGGGCTAGGTGGGCATCTAGTGTGGGGAAGTTCAGGATCTGAAAAGTCAGGTGAATGAATCACGAGTCAGGGGACTGAATCACAACTTAAGTCAGGTGACTGAAGCACAATTAAAGTAAGATGACTGAAGCACAATTAAAGTCAGGTGATTGAAGCACAAATAGGCAGGTGACTGAATTACAATGTAAGTCAGATGACTAAATCAGAACTAAGCTAAAAAAAATTGCAAAACAGTTCTAAACATTATGTGGAATAAAGTGGTCAGGTAGTAGAGACTGTCTCTTGTACTGGCTGTAGTGAGTTCAATACTGGGCACAAGATCACAACACAATTGTAAGTCCACCCAGCTCTAATGGGTACCTGACCAATACATTTATGCTGATGGAGCTTGGATGATGAAACAAAAATGTTAATATGGCAAACAAAGTCACAGGAGAACTCTGTACAGTAAAGTTTAAGAGTTCTATAGGCAATAAACATTGTCAAATAATAAAGAAACAAATTTCTTATGATGAGATTTTATAAAATGATGATTCTTGGTGTGTGATATTTAGCTTAAATAAAGGCTAAAAGTGACTAAAAAACAATACATTATTCACCATATGGATATACTAAAATTGAATTGCTTACTTGGACTGCTGTAGTTGACAATATTTTATATGACATCTCAACCATTTCCACAAGCACAGATGAATCCTATGCAATAGAAAACAGTAGTAAAACAAACTGTTGACTAAATTAAACAATTTAACCCTCTAAAACCCGATTTCCTTTTGTTACTAGGGTTCAAGGGGTTAACTAACTTGATTTTTCTCAGTGTCATCAGTAGGGACAGTGTGTATGTTTGGTCTGTTGTAGTAGACTAAATAATTTAACCCTCTATAACCCAATTTACTTTTGCTAGTAGCGTTCAAAGGGTTAACTGACCTGATTTTTCTCAGCATCATCAGTAGTCAGTGTGAAGCCATTTGGTCTGTTGTAGTAGACTAAACAATTTAACCCTCTAAAACCCAATTTACTATTTCTAGTAGAGTTCAAAGGGTTAACTGACCTGATGTTTCTCAGCATCATCAATAGGGTCAGTGTGTAGCTGTTACTAGAGTTTAATTAACCCTCTAAAACCCAATTTACTTTTGCTACTTGAGTTAAAAGAGTTAACTAACCTGATTTTTCTCAGCATCATCAATAGGGTTAGTGTGTAGCTGTTTGGTCTGTAGCAGGGAGGACAACATCAACAGGGCTCTCAGAGCAAGTTGTTGCTGACCACATGAGAACAGGGGCTCCACCAGTGCTCTGGTATTGGCCAGAACAATTTCTGATGAAGTTTCTGAAAATTTTAAACTTTATGCAACACCAACAAAATCAAGCCTAATTTTTTTTTAGATATTCTAAGTTAAAAGGGGCGGAGAAGCCTAGAGGTAAAGAGCTAGACTGTGAACTCAAAAGTCTCAAATTCGAATTTGGTTCAAATCAGTAGAACGTCAAAGATTCCACCCAGCTATGATGTGTATCTAACTAACATTAGGGAAACAAAAGAGGCTGGGCATAGTGCTGACCATATTATCCCCTTGTATGATGAGGTCATTGAAAGAGATTAACTCTACTTCATCTGCTCCAAGAGTCTTGGGCACAAACAAGAAAAGAAAATGAATCTTAAAAAGATTTACATTTGTATTTAAACACATATAGGTGCCCAATGTAGATCCAATGATTTAGATACGAGTTAACATAAATTGAATTCCCTTTAGTTTATAGACATGAGATGTAAGAAACTACCACCCTGTGAACAAAGTACCTGGGCTGTTGGCCACATCCACAGCATTGATAACCTCTGTGAGAAATGTTTCAGTATCCATTCTATGAGGCAACTCTTTAAAGTACTCATCTAACCACATCTGGCTCAGGCTGGCCATCTGGCTCTTCTACAAGGTAGATACATTTCCATCAACAAAACAAGGAAAAGAAACAACAAAATGAGAAACGAAGTAGAGGGACTTGTACTAATTTACACTGTACTTGATGTAATGAGAGATAAAGTAGAAAGACTTGTACTAATTTACACTGTACTTGATGTAATGAGAGATAAAGTAGAGGTACTTGTACTAATTTACACTGTACTTGATGTAATGAACTCTACCTGAGACTGGGCCAGGATATCAACCATCAAAGACACCAGAGAAACCAGCTGAGATGTTTGGTGAATCTGATCTAAATTGTGGATATAGCAAAACAATACATTTAGTCTAATTGTGGAGATATTAAAACAATACATCTGATCTAAATTGTGGATATAGCAAAACAATACATCTAATCTAAATTGTGGATATAGTAAAACAATACATCTTATCTAAATTGTGGATATAGCAAAACAATACATCTGATCTAAATTGTGGATATAACAAAACAATACATCTAGTCTAATTGTGGATATAGCAAAACAATACATCTAGTCTAATTGTGGATATAGCAAAACAATACATCTAATCTAAATTGTGGATATAGTAAAACAATACATCTGATCTAAATTGTGGATATAGCAAAACAATACATCTAGTCTAATTGTGGATATAGCAAAACAATACATCTAATCTAAATTGTGGATATAGTAAAACAATACATCTGATCTAAATTGTGGATATAGTAAAACAATACATCTGATCTAAATTGTGGATATAGTAAAACAATACATCTGATCTAAATTGTGGATATAGCAAAACAATACATCTAGTCTAATTGTGGAGATGTCAAAATAATACATCTGATCTAAATCATGTATATATCAAAACAATACAGGTCCATTTTTATGACAATAATAAAAGTTTACAAGATATGTGATTCCGTCCAAAAGCAGTATTTACTTTATAAAAAGAAATAAAACTATTCTGATTGCAAATTAATTTAAGAGTTGTACCTCAGTCTCTAGCAGTCAACTCACCCACAGCACAAGATTATATCAACTAACATCAAGAGATGTACTACAGTCTCTAGCAGTCAACTCACCCACTGCACAAGACTATATCAACAACTAACATCAATAGTTGTACTACAGTCCCTAGCAGTCAACTCACCCATTGCACAAAACTATATTAACAACTAACATCAATAGTTGTACTACAGTCCCTAGCAGTCAACTCACCCAATGCACAAGATTATATTAACAACTAACATCAATAGTTGTACTACAGTCCCTAGCAGTCAACTCACCCAATGCACAAGATTATATTAACAACTAACATCAACAGTTGTACTACAGTCTCTAGCAGTCAACTCACCCACTCCACAAGATTATATTATCAACTAACATCAATACTTGTACTACAGTCTCTGCAGTCAACTCACCCATTGCACAAAACTATATTAACAACTAACACAAAGAGCTGTACTACAGATTCTAGCAGTCAACTCAACCACTCAAGACTACATTACCTAACATCAATAGCTGTACTACAGTCTCTAGCAGTCAACTCATCTAACACCAACAGATGTACTACAGTCTCTAGCAGTTAACTCACCCAAGGCACAGTGTGTCAACCAGAGCTGGGCCAGCTTGAGACAGGACCCCACACTTATCTCTCCCTCACCCCCCACAATGGCCAAACTGTTGAGGAGGAGTTCCCCACTGGCCACGTTCTGTGGGACTGAGGCACTCAGCTTTCTGTTGGGGTTGACATTAGAGGGAAAATATTGGTTATCTATGTCTTACCAAAATATAACTTTAAACATTTTATCAACTTAATTTTGTTAAAAAATAAATTAAAAACATTTGTTTACAGAATCCAATTAAAAAATAACTAAGGATGTTCATTGAAAAATTATAATAACAATTGTTTCACTGAGTCTAATTGAAAGATAACTTATTAAGTTTTCTAGCTGAATTTTAACACTTGCTAATTGAATCTAATTAAGAAATAATAAAGGTTGCTAACTGAATATTTTTAAAAGATAAATTGTAATAATTATTGTGTCACTGAATTTAATAACTTCTATAATCTTTAAACGGTGCCGTGTTAAAGGTAAATACTACCAGCCCTCATATTTGAAATTGTTTTTTTTACTCCAGTTTTTTTTACACATACCATTGTGATGGCAATAAATAATCTTTGTTAAGCAAAACCAAGAACAGAGTTTTAGATATAATAATTCTAAAGAAGAAAAGACGGATGGTGCATTGATTCTGAGACTTACTCTAAAAGTTTGGCTGTAGCTGGACATAATTTGAGACTTACTCTAAAAGTTTGGCTGGACAGAATCTGAGACTTACTCTAAAAGTTTGGCTGGACAGAATCTGAGACTTACTCTAAAAGTTTGGCTGGACAGAATCTGAGACTTACTCTAAAAGTTTGGCTGTAGCTGGACAGAATCTGAGACTTACTCTAAAAGTTTGGCTGGACAGAATCTGAGACTTACTCTTAAAGTTTGGCTGTAGCTGGACAGAATCTGAGACTTACTCTAAAAGTTTGGCTGTAGCTGGACAGAATCTGAGACTTACTCTAAAAGTTTGGCTGGACAGAATCTGAGACTTACTCTAAAAGTTTGGCTGGACAGAATCTGAGACTTACTCTAAAAGTTTGGCTGGACAGAATCTGAGACTTACTCTAAAAGTTTGGCTGGACAGAATCTGAGACTTACTCTAAAAGTTTGGCTGTAGCTGGACAGAATCTGAGACTTACTCTAAAAGTTTGGCTGGACAGAATCTGAGACTTACTCTAAAAGTTTGGCTGGACAGAATCTGAGACTTACTCTAAAAGTTTGGCTGTAGCTGGACAGAATCTGAGACTTACTCTAAAAGTTTGGCTGTAGCTGGACATAATTTGAGACTTACTCTAAAAGTTTGGCTGGACAGAATCTGAGACTTACTCTAAAAGTTTGGCTGGACAGAATCTGAGACTTACTCTAAAAGTTTGGCTGGACAGAATCTGAGACTTACTCTAAAAGTTTGGCTGTAGCTGGACAGAATCTGAGACTTACTCTAAAAGTTTGGCTGTAGCTGGACAGAATCTGAGACTTACTCTAAAAGTTTGGCTGGACAGAATCTGAGACTTACTCTAAAAGTTTGGCTGTAGCTGGACAGAATCTGAGACTTACTCTAAAAGTTTGGCTGGACAGAATCTGAGACTTACTCTAAAAGTTTGGCTGTAGCTGGACAGAATCTGAGACTTACTCTAAAAGTTTGGCTGTAGCTGGACAGAATCTGAGACTTACTCTAAAAGTTTGGCTGGACAGAATCTGAGACTTACTCTAAAAGTTTGGCTGGACAGAATCTGAGACTTACTCTAAAAGTTTGGCTGGACAGAATCTGAGACTTACTCTAAAAGTTTGGCTGGACAGAATCTGAGACTTACTCTAAAAGTTTGGCTGGACAGAATCTGAGACTTACTCTAAAAGTTTGGCTGTAGCTGGACAGAATCTGAGACTTACTCTAAAAGTTTGGCTGTAGCTGGACATAATTTGAGACTTACTCTAAAAGTTTGGCTGGACAGAATCTGAGACTTACTCTAAAAGTTTGGCTGGACAGAATCTGAGACTTACTCTAAAAGTTTGGCTGGACAGAATCTGAGACTTACTCTAAAAGTTTGGCTGGACAGAATCTGAGACTTACTCTAAAAGTTTGGCTGGACAGAATCTGAGACTTACTCTAAAAGTTTGGCTGTAGCTGGACAGAATCTGAGACTTACTCTAAAAGTTTGGCTGTAGCTGGACAGAATCTGAGACTTACTCTAAAAGTTTGGCTGGATAGAATCTGAGACTTACTCTAAAAGTTTGGCTGGACAGAATCTGAGACTTACTCTAAAAGTTTGGCTGGACAGAATCTGAGACTTACTCTAAAAGTTTGGCTGGACAGAATCTGAGACTTACTCTAAAAGTTTGGCTGTAGCTGGACAGAATCTGAGACTTACTCTAAAAGTTTGGCTGGACAGAATCTGAGACTTACTCTAAAAGTTTGGCTGGACAGAATCTGAGACTTACTCTAAAAGTTTGGCTGTAGCTGGACAGAATCTGAGACTTACTCTAAAAGTTTGGCTGGACAGAATCTGAGACTTACTCTAAAAGTTTGGCTGTAGCTGGACAGAATCTGAGACTTACTCTAAAAGTTTGGCTGTAGCTGGACAGAATCTGAGACTTACTCTAAAAGTTTGGCTGGACAGAATCTGAGACTTACTCTAAAAGTTTGGCTGGACAGAATCTGAGACTTACTCTAAAAGTTTGGCTGGACAGAATCTGAGACTTACTCTAAAAGTTTGGCTGGACAGAATCTGAGACTTACTCTAAAAGTTTGGCTGTAGCTGGACAGAATCTGAGACTTACTCTAAAAGTTTGGCTGGACAGAATCTGAGACTTACTCTAAAAGTTTGGCTGGACAGAATCTGAGACTTACTCTAAAAGTTTGGCTGTAGCTGGACAGAATCTGAGACTTACTCTAAAAGTTTGGCTGTAGCTGGACAGAATCTGAGACTTACTCTAAAAGTTTGGCTGGACAGAATCTGAGACTTACTCTAAAAGTTTGGCTGTAGCTGGACAGAATCTGAGACTTACTCTAAAAGTTTGGCTGTAGCTGGACAGAATCTGAGACTTACTCTAAAAGTTTGGCTGGACAGAATCTGAGACTTACTCTAAAAGTTTGGCTGTAGCTGGACAAGCTGCTCTATTGGCTGATTCCAAGATGGCGGTTCTGATCAGGTCACTCTTGGTCAAACCAAGCAGGTTGGCTAAACTGAATACAAAATATGTACACAAGCTTGTTATCTTATTCAACATACAATCTTAAATAATGGTGTCACAATGCAGAGGAGATAGGATGACACCAAAGCAATGATTATTTTACAATTTTTAAAAGTTATTCACATATTTTTAAGTACATGGTGACCCCTTCCAGGCTGGGGGTGATAAGAAATTGTCCACAGTTTTAGTACATCATGTATAGTTGTTGATCTGGAAGGGAGACACACTGTACTATTGCACTTGGTGTCATAAGACTTAGCCATATCAATGGATTCAAATTTTTGTTCCACTATGTTCAAAGAAAAAAAAACCAAAAACCCAAACCTTATGAAAATTGTAATCCCATTCACGAGAATAAAAAATAAAATTTTAGTTCATAGCTACCACCTGTTCTCCACAAAGGCATCAAATTTTTTCCGTACTGTTGGAGCAGGTAAGCTTTTTAATCTATGTTAGAAAAGTTAAGCCCAATTTCCTCATTCAAGTAGTAAGGTTCCCTTTCAAACCTCACGGTCTATGGGGCAAGTGAAGAAGAGTTCACTTGTTTCTGTGACCTTAGCATATGAAGGGATAGTGTGGTCAGCTGCCTTTACTTACCCTAACGTGAGTTAGGTACCCATCAGAGTTGGGTGGACTCAGGGACGGTCTACTGACTTGAACCCGGATTTGAACACTAGACTGACGGGTTAGCAGTCCAGCTCTCTGCCACTAGGCCCATACGTCCCATCATTCAAGTAGTAGAGCACACATTATGTTCAACTTCTGGGCTCAATATTGTAAGAAAACCCAACTCACCCGGTTACCTGACTTAAGGTGGTTAAAGCAGTGCCTGACATGACCACACAACCACTGCATACACAGAGGTCAAAGAAACAGATAAACTCTACTTTATCTGCTCTGTAAACGATCAGGTCTGAAGAAATATTTTGCGCTTTCTCAGCGTATAAAAGAAAAGAATGTTGGCCAATTTACCTGCACAGCTGCTCATCTTGAAGCTTGCCCATGTAGTGTCTGAGTAGTTGAGTACACCTTGTCTTGTCCTGAAACCCTGCTTCACTCATGTAGATTTGGTAATGAACCTGAGAATAATACAACAAATTAAGAGTGGCCTTCATTCATAGTTGTTGGACAGCATGGTCGAATGATAAAGTGTTTGGCTGCTAGCACAAAGGTTTCATCTTTAGATTTTGGTTCGGACGTGTGACTGAAGGAAGTCCACCCAACTCTGATGAGTGCCTGACTAACGTTGGAGAAAGTAATGGGGGCTGGGCATAGTGCTGACCACATGATCCCTTCATAATATGCCAAGGTCAAGAAACATGAACTTTAGAAAATACTGCAGTACTCAAAAAGCGATACTCAAAACTGTTTACAAAACTAGTTTGCTGTATTTGTTACACTAAAAACTCTATTAAAATAAAACCTCAAGATCCTTTGCTTTTTTTATCATCTTGGCTTTATATTTTATCTCTTTTCTTTCTGTAATGCCTAGAAAAAAGAAAATATAAAAAATTTGTTTTAATTTAATTAGAAAAATCAAAAGGCTATACTATAAAACTACATTTATTACATTTTATTTCTAAATGTTAGTATATAGGTGTATTTGTTTCTAAATTTTGATATCCTTCATATCTAATACATTTATGAAATAAAACAAAGGTAATAGATATTTAGACTTCTGGTTGCATATACGACTAGTAAAACTGATTGCACTCAATGGCAAGGAACGCTTAGTCATCTTTTGAAATGGCTTTAGTGACCACTAAATTCTATACATGGAAGGCAATATCAGCTGCTTACTTTCAATTAGTGGCAGGACAATTCTGGCAGCGATACCTGCAGCTTCAAAATATGACAGCCTTACTTGTTTTTTCACCTGCAACAGGTAAAAAAAAATACAGATAAACTTTAATGTTACACAGTCACTGTACAGTCATGGATAACTAGAGCTTGTATATATTATATCATTCCTTAGATTTAGATTTAGACTAACAATGTCAAGCTAAGCTTACATATATTATATCCTTTACTTAAGTTTAGACAAATGCTATTAAGCTAAATCTTTCATATGTTATATCCTTTACTTCAATTTAGACCAAAACTATGGAGCTAAAGTTTACATGTTATATCCTTTCCTTAAGTTTAGACAAAAGCTATCAAGCTTTCATATGTTATATCCATTACTTAAATTTAGACCAACGCTATCAGGCTGATTCTCCCTCAACCTGCAACTGGCAGGGATAAGCAACTGAAGCTTTACCTGTGTCAGGAAATCAGCCTCATCCATGTTGTAGAAGGCAGTTGTGACAACATCAACACAGCAGTAGACAACAGCCTGCGTGGGCAGGGACTTGAGGTACAGCTTCAGCTCATCTATCTGTGGATACAGTCAATGGGAGTTAACCCTTTGAGGTCTGCATGGCATAATTAGCTAACTATATGTAAGTGGTGTTATGAGATGGTGTGGTCAAATGGTATGAATGCTAACCCAAAAGTCTTGAGTTCAAATCCGAAATCAAATACATAAAATAAAACGTCCTAGGGTTTACCAAGCTCTGATGGGTTACTGACTCTAGTAAAGGAAAGTAAAGGCGGATGGGTATAATGCTGACAAGACTTCCCTTCATATGCTGATGTGACAGAAACAGGTGAACTCTACTTCACTTGCCACAAGGACTGTCAGGTTCAAAAGAGAACTTTACTATTTTTTTTATGTAAATGGTGACATGATTTAAATGTTCTAAGACTAAAAATTGTGGCATGGTGATCAAAGATTACAAATGGTGACAAAAATAATAAAAGATTAAAAATAGTAATTCTAAGATCAGATGTAATAATTACAAATCAAAAGTGGGAACAAAGTGATTCAAATTCTAAAAGGTGATACAATGAGCAAATGTTACTAGTGGTGACACAATGATTAGAGATTACATGTGAAAGAATGATCAAAGATGACAAACTGTGATACTGTGATCTAATGTTATAAGTGGTGACACAATCATTAAAGATTGAGACAACAGGAATAATGAAAGATTACAAGTGGTGACACAATGATCACAGATTGCAAGTGGTCACACAAAGATCACAGATTACAAGTGGTGACACAAAGATCACAGAGTACAAGTGGTGACACAAAGATCACAGATTACAAGTGGTGACACAAAAATGACAGATTACAGGTGGTGATGCAAAGATCACAGATTACAAATGGTGACACAAAGATCACAGATTACAAGTGGTGACACAAATATCACAGATTACAAGTGGTGACACAAAGATAAAAGATTACAAGTGGTGAAACAAAGATCACAGATCACAAGTGGTGACACAAAGATCACAGAGTACAAATGGTGACACAAAGATCACAGATTACAAGAGGTGACACAAATATCACAGATTACAAGTGGTGACACAGAGATCGAAAATTACAAGTGGTGACACAAAAGGTCACAGATTACAAGCAGTGGCACAAAGATCACAAATTACAAGAGGGACACAAAGATCACAAATCACAATCACCTGATTCCTGATGACAAAGAGCTGACACTGAAACTTGTGCAGCTCTTTCAGCCCAGTGGAGGTGAGATTATGGGCAGAGAGCAGCCTCTCTACATCAGTAAATGGTCCCCCACTAGAGATGATGAACTTGGCCATTTCCTGATGAAAAACAGAGTTAAGGAACATCAACTCTAATTATCTGATGAAAAACAGAGTTAAGGAACAGCAACTCTAATTATCTGACAGCAACCAGAATAAATATGCAATATTAAGAACTGTAGGCACAATTTTGAGTAAGGGCTTTTTTTCCTAATCAAGCATTTATAGCTCTATAAAAAAAAATCATCACCTTGCAGCGTAATAAAACATTTTTTCCACAAAATATAAGAAATTAAAAGTGTTTTTTTTTTCAGCTTTTATTTTTTTTAAATTGGCTTTTGTGAACTGATACAGATTTACAATAGTAATACTTCTTTATGACATATGCTTTCATTCATTGAAGATGGTTTACTGTTATGTTTTATATTTGCATATGGTTTACAATTAGTATAAATATTTTCTATTTGCTCATTTTTCTGTTAACTCTTTAAGATCATAACCAGGCAGAATTTAATACAGGCCGACCTGCCATGCCCTAACAACACTCCCAGAGTCTGATAACATTGTCTCTGTTTAATTTGTAGTTTTTTCAGAATCCAAGTTTTTAATCGAAAATCTTGGTCACAAGAGCAGCCATTTTTCTTTGTATTTATTTCTTGAAGTTTTATTATTGGGTTCTTCTTCTTCTTCTTCGTTCTTAATTATTAGCGTTGAAGGGCATCGAGATTTATCTGCCAGTAGGTTTGAACTCGAGACTTTGTTCGAATTTATCAACCATGAGCTTTTTGCCGACTCGACCACGCCTCCAACACAATTAAGCGTTACGTGTCAACTGGTTATGCGCCATTGAGGCCATTGACTCCGATTTCAGCCTGCTTTTCTTTCTGGATTTGCTTCCATAGCCTTTGTCCAACCAAGAACAAACTACAAGGCAGCAGTTGTTTAATTTTTGGAGTTGTCTCTCCTAGAAGAGTGGCTGTCCCTAGCTAACGAGCCTCATCTGCCCGAGGGTTCGAACTCGAGACTTTTCGGTTTAGCAACCATGAGCTTTACCGACTCGACCACGCCAACCCCTATTATTGGGTTGATTTTGTATATTATAAAAATTTATTTTGTAAAACTATTTGAAAAATAATGCTGATTGCAGTTCTGCTGCCATACCTAGTCATTTACACCACCACATTACAAAATTAACAAAATTATGCTCATTCTAATACGATCTGTAGAAAAATAAATTCTAATCATTCGTCTGAAAAAAAAATCAACTTTATTATTTCCTTTTCATTAATACTAAGTAATTATCTTTCATTAATAAAAATTAATTACTTCATATTAATATAAGTGTGTAGCATTCAATTATGATTTAATTTTTTTTTTCTAATTACGATTTAATTTAAATCAGCAATGAAAAAAAAGTCCCAGTAGAGGATAATATGATAGTTACTAAATTAATTATTGTCAGGTTACTAAATCTATTATTATTATAATTTTAAAAACTATTGTTTCACTTTTCCTTTTTTCCTTATCATTTTCCATTTTTACTATTTTTTAATAACTTTTTATCTACATCTTTTTTATTTACTTTTTTTCTGTTTATTTCAAAATTTCATATTTTTTTATATAGCGTTTCAAAGTAAAAAAAGGAAATTAACGATACTATATTTCTGCAATGTGCAAAAAATACATAGTAGTCTCCCTTGCATAAAAAAAAAGTCCAGGGGAGGTAAAGCAAGCCTTACCTTGACCTGCCGTGCAGTCTTCACATAACCAGGCTTCATGCCATAGTTAAAGATGATATTGTCAGCATTTTTCAAGTTCCATCTGTTATTCAGTGTTGCCAGTCTGTAATTAAAACAGAATAGAAGTTTGATGTTAAGATATCCTCATGTAATGAAATCCTGCATGGAATTACTGTCAACTGTCTTGTCATTGGTTTGTTTTGTGCTATTTTTGAATGCTTTATGTTGATGTATTTTGTTGATATATGATCTCTCCCCCCTCCCCACAAACCACCTTAGACCAGCCTGTGACTTACAGGTCATGCTGACACCCACTGTTTATCTCTGCCACCAGATCAACCTGACACCACCCACCAGATCAACCTGACACCACCCACCAGGTCCATCACAACTACCTGACACCCCCACCAAGTCCATCACAACAACCTGTCACCCCCCACCTTAGACCAGCCTGTGACTTACAGGTCATGCTGACACCCACTGTTGATCTCAGCCACCAGATCAACCTGTCACCCCCACCAAGTCCATCACAACCACCTGACACCCCCACAAACCACCTTAGACCAGCATGTGACTTACTTACAGGACATGCTGACACCCACTGTTGATCTCAGCCACCAGATCAACCTGTCACCCCCACCAAGTCCATCACATCAACCTGTCACCCCCACCAAGTCCATCACATCAACCTGTCACCCCCACCAAGTCCATCACAACAACCTGACACCCCCACCAAGTCCATCACAACAACCTGCCACCCCCCCCCCCCCCCCCACCGTAGACCAGCCTGTGACTTACAGGTCATGCTGACACCCACTGTTGATCTCAGCCACCAAATCAACCTGCCACCCCCACCAAGACCATCACATCAACCTGTCACCCCCACCAAGACCATCACAACAACCTTTAACCCCCCCCCCCACCTTAGACCAGCCTGTGACTTACAGGTCATGCTGACACCCACTGTTGATCTCTGCCACCAAATCATGTACAAATCCTGGGATGGGCAGGGAAACTTTCTCTACCAGGTTAAGTAGCGCTCCAATCTTTATCTAAAGTGAAAAACTTGCAGCATTATCTTTTGCATTATAGGATGACCTAACAAATAATGACACATCTTAGTTAACTAAAAAATCTACATTTTAAAGAAACCCACTTACCATAGCAAAACTCAAATTTAAAATGTATGATCCCTTACCTGACCCCACTTGCAGTGGAATAACCCTGCCATCTTACCTAGGGATGAACCCCCCCACTTACTTAGGGATGAACCCCCCACTTACTTAGGGAATACATCATATATACATCAAATAAACCCCACCTCCACCCCACCAAACACAACTGCCAAAGAATGACCCCCATATAGGAATGACCCCCCCCCCCCCCCCCCGCAGCCCAGACCCCCATACCTTAGGATCACTGATGACTCTGATGATGGCTTTAATCTTCTCCTCCCAGGAGTACTGACAGCGCCCCCAAGTTGTTTTGTTCATCAGATCCTGATTCAAAACAAATTGTATTCATTATGACAGACATGAGCATTTAATATATGGAGATACGGTCCATTTATTATCAAATTATATATATCTTTGTTTAGGACCTAAAATTTTAAAATATCATAGAACTTAAACTGGACAAAGAATGACTGTCTGTTTTTTAGCTGTGATCTTTTATGCTCAATTTATTATCTTTAACAAACTAGCATTAATGGTAATTTTTTTCACTATAAATAACTGCTAAAACTGCTATAACATAGTTTACCAAAAGTGTTTACTTTACACTATACAAAACACAATAATATAGACACAAACATTACATTTTCTGTTTATTTTTTTTTCAGATAATTTGACTGCATGAAATTAAGAAAAAACAAATATTTTAACAAAATGGTGAATATTTCCTCATGTAAATGTTATGAATAGGTTTAAAGCATTAAGGGAGACAACTAACCTGAACATAGCTGGCAAATACTTCATTAGCTGACAAGTCATTCTTCTGCATGTAGGGCAACACCTGGTGTTTCAATGTCTGGGGCAGCAGGTCTACGGCCGCCACCCTGTCCAGCATTCTGTAGACGATACTTTCTGTTGTTTCCTGCAGATGTTAAAACAAGCAGTCGTCAACAGAAACCAACAGGGGAGAATTTAATGAGCAGTAAGGAAACAAATTATTCAAGTGGTATAATGAATTACAGCAGAACAATTTGTAATTTGGCAAAGTGAGTTTACAGTTTTAGAAAAGTTGGAAAATTGTATTTATAAAAGATTAAATAAAATTACTTACATATTAAAAACAAATAAATCCTATTTAATAAAAACCACATCAACATATGAAAATTACTAGTATTTACTTGTAATGACACTGAATGAAAATGCTGTTAGGCTTTTCATGAAATCATGTGTAACAATTAGTGCAATTAGATTACTTGATAACTTAGGTCTTCCAAGGTCAATTTACCATTCTGTATCCAGTGACAGGTCAACTTACCATTCTGAGAGTGTCCAGTTACAATTCAACTTACCATTCTGAGAGTGTCCAGTTACAATTCAACTTACCATTCTGAGAGTGTCCAGTTACAATTCAACTTACCATTCTGAGAGTGTCCAGTTACAATTCAACTTACCATTCTGAGAGTGTCCAGTTACAATTCAACTTACCATTCTGAGAGTGTCCAGTTACAATTCAACTCACCATTTTGAGATTGTCAAGTGATAAATGACATGAAAAGTTTGTCCACAGCTCATGAAGCCAGTGCAATTGGTCTATCAGCAATTTCAGGGGAGGTAAAGCACTTTCACATTTCATTTTTGTCTGCCAAGAAAATTAGAACTCAGCATCAACTAAAGGGAAATAATAACCACAGTAGCATTGTGGAGTTATTTTGAGCAAGTCCAGTTCGCAGTCAAAAATGTTCTGAAACTTTGGATTCAGCATATTTAAAAAGAACTTTGTGATAATCATTTTATTCATAGATGTGAGATGAAAGTCATCACAGAACTATCTAGTATTTACCCTTTGTGGGATTGTCTAGGTGGGTAGTCTACAAAATACAAGTATGAGTTGATGTTTTGCTTGACTATCATTAGACATAAAATTACCATAATTTCTCGCAAGTTCTGCTCTGAGATTTGGTCCAGTTCACACTTAACAGCTTGCTCCAGGCTCTTCAGTAGTGTTTCACACAAGATTATAGCATTCAATGGCCAGCCATCCTAGACAAAACAAAGATTTCAGTAACATTAAAACTTTAAAATGGACAATTAACTTTTCAGCAGTGTTTCACATAAAGTTATTGCATTCACTGGCCAGCCATCCTAGACAAAAATAGATTTCAGTAACATTAAAACTTTAACTACACTGACAATTAACTCTTCAGTAGTGTTTCACACAAGGTTATAGCCATCCTAAACAAAACAAAGATTTCAGTAACATTAAAACTTTAACTACAGGGACAATTAACTCTTCAGCAGTGTTTCACATAAGGTTATAGCATTCACTGGCCAGCCATCCTAAACAAAACAAAGATTTCAGTAACATTAAAACTTTAACAGGGACAATTAACTCTTTAGCAGTGTTTCACATAAAGTTATAGCATTCACTGGCCAGCCATCCTAGACAAAACAAAGATTTCAGTAACATTAAAACTTTAACAACAGGGACAATTAACTCTTTAGCAGTGTTTCACATAAGGTTATAGCATTCACTGGCCAGCCATCCTAGACAAAACAAAGATTTCAGTAACATTAAAACTTTAAGAACAGGGACAATTAACTCTTCAGTAGTGTTTCACACAAGGTTATAGCCATCCTAAACAAAACAAAGATTTCAGTAACATTAAAACTTTACAGAGACAATTTTATTTCATCTTCAGGTCATAAATATTAAAAGGTAGTATATTTGAGTTAAACTAATAAACTATTATTCATCATTATTTCCCTTTGATATACACAAAGAACCAATTTTTAGAAGAGCCAAGAACATTTTATTATTATTATTTAACTGCAGCTGACATGAGTTTAAATTGCTTGGCTATATTCAGCAAAGAAAATATTCAAAAGTAACATTTACAATATTACACAAATAAAATGTAGGCGGATATTTACCTGACTGTTTTGTTCTAGGTGATACACCTGGGTCTCTGCCCATGAGATTATTGCAGTCTGAAATATATTTCACGTTTAATATTCCAATCCAACATAAAAAAAAACACATACACCTTAATTGTCACCATAGTTGTCAACAGCATAGTTTTATTTGGCCTAGTCCATGTTAAAATAGTGGTCACTAGAAATAATGTCAATTAATTAATACATTTATTTGTAGTGTTATAAAAAAACTGAGGTAAAAAGGTCAAGCTTATGTGGCCAGGGTCTATGTCAGTTTGGTAAAAAACCCAACAATTCGCACAAAGTTTATCTGACCAGTGTCCAACCTACCAGAGCCCCTGGGTCCTTCTGAATGAGGATTGGCACGACACAGTCACAGATCCAGCTGGCGGTCAAGGTGCAGGGCACATCCACAGGTATCCGCTGTAGGATGAGGTGGATGGTGCCTGGCTTAAGCTGCTTGCTCATGTCTGCCTGCAGAAACATTTGATTGAAACACTCAACCACTGAGAATATGGTGAATAATTGCGTGGATTTTTTTTAGCAAGGGGTATTTTTAAATGATGAGGAAAAAATTAATACAACACTCTAGACCCTACCCCCCATCTTCACTGGAATGACATGGCTGGGCGGTAAAGAGCATGTCTGATAACCTGAAAGTCTAGAGTTTGGATGTCTCTGAGTCCACCCAGCTCGGATGAGTGCCTAGCTTATGTTAGAGAAAATAAATGTGTTGGGCGTAGTACTGACAACACTTTCTTTAAAAATAGCAGTCACTGAAACAGAACAGTTCTACTTCACCTTCCCTATTGGTTGTCAAAGACTCAGAGAGAATCTTTATTTTGATTCCACCCCCATCCATACCAGGTGTTGTAGATGGCAGCTTTGTGTATAAAAAAAGCTCAGTTCTATTTTCTGTTGCAGTCTGTCAGGCTTAAGAGTGATGCTTATGCCAGCTATACAAATAATAGAGGGAGGAGAGAAAGGGAGACAACGGGAGTAATAGCTGAAAGAGAGGCTCGGAGAGAAAGAAAGGGGAACTGAAGTAATAGCTGAAAGAGAGGCTGTGAGAGAAAGAAAGGGAGACAACTGAAGTAATGGCTGAAAGAGAGGCTGGGATAGAGAAAGGGAGGCAACTGCTGATGGCTCACTTGAAAACATCTCCACAGCTCAAAAGCCTTGACTGGGTCCTCCATGAGCAAGTGGCTGAACATGGCTGTAGGACTTTCATCCATAAAGATTTCCCACTGGGACCGGCTGGAAAAAAAAAAACATTTTGTCAGTGACCCTACACTCAGTGCTACCCTGCTAAACTGAAAGTCTCGAATTCAAATCCGGGTTCAAGTCAGCAGAAAGTCCCTGGGTACACCCAGCTTAGATAAGTACCTAAAACCTTAGTCATATTAGGGAAAGTAAAGGTGGCTGGGCAAAATGCTGACCATGTCTTCCCTTCATATGCTGAGGTCAAGAAACATATGAACTCTACTTCATCTGCCCAATGGATCGCTAGGCCTGAAGAGGATTCTTTACACTACAGTTAGTTTATACCAAAAAATTTAAAACAATTCTAATACTATTAATCAAATTCAGTTCATCTTTGGGTAGGTTAACACCAAAAATTTAGAAAAATTCAAATGAACACGGTCTGTGGGTGGGTTAAAGTCACTGGCTGCTATGATCATCTAACATTCAAAAAAAAAAACATCAAAATATGGTCTTAAGATTACAGCTGTCATGGATCAGCAGTTAACTAAAACTGAGACAGTAAAAGTGGTTTTCCTATTGTGGTGAATGTAAACTTTTATACATTCAAGTATGACTCAAAATATAGATAGATAACTCTACTCCATTGACTGATATGGATAGTAAGTTTATACTTTGGGGGAAAAAAACAAAATATGTGGTGGGGGTAGGTATCAATTACAGAAAAAAGTCATTAATTATCACACCTGTAATTAGCCTCTCCAAACACTCTGGCAAACGACTCCAATCTATAGTTGTAATCAGACACCTAAAAGAGTAAAAAATAAAATGTGAGTCCTTTAATAGTTACAACTAAAATAGCATTGAAAAACTGTGCTTTAGGTGGCAAAGTGTGGGATTAGGCAAGATAAAATTTTTAATATAATATCTTTAACAATAAATGATGACTAAGCTGCATAAACAGCTAGGGTACCTCAGCAAGCACTTGATTCACTGATGGGTTGCCAGATTTCATTTTCAACAGCTGAAAACAAATTCAGGAACATTACCAGGTAGGATAAGGAAAATATACAAACAGGATGATAAAAAAATGGCAGTACAAAAGTAAACAAGAAGGATGTAATAACATAATCTTTAGGGATAAAATAAATTTACAGGAAGAAATGAAAGAAACAGGGAGGAAAGAAATATACAGGTATTATAAAATGTAAAATAAGCTGATAGCATAGAAAGATAGTGAAAAACAGAATGAAATAAATGTATTTAGTGTAGAACAAAAAATATTATAAGAGAAAAATTGTAAGATATTCAGGGAGTTTTTAAAAAACAAAAACAAAAATGGATTAACCTACTTTTTAATTTGAAGTCAAATTTATACTATATAAACTTTGATCATTAACACTTACAATTCTAAATGCCCTGAACTGGAAAAGTAAACATTTCTAAATCTTGTAACAGGTAAAATGTGTTGGAAATGTTACCTGATTTTTGCACTGTTTCAGGTGGCAGGACATTTCATCAAAGGTGTCTTTAACCTCTCTAAGCTTGTACTGGACGATGACTGGATCCAACTAACAGAAACAGAGAATGGGAGAGTGGTTGGGTAATAAAATTCTGAATTAATTTCTTTTTGTTGGACTATACTGGACTACGACTGGATCCAACTAACAAGGAGAGATAATGGGAGAGTGGTTGGGTAATAAAATTCTGAATTAATTTCTTTTTCTTGGACTATACTGGACTACGACTGGATCCAACTAACAGGGACAGAGAATGGGAGAGTGGTTGGGTAATAAAATTCTGAATTAATTTCTTTTTCTTGGACTATACTGGACTACGACTGGATCCAACTAACAGGGACAGAGAATGGGAGAGTGGTTGGGTAATAAAATTCTGAATTAATTTCTTTTTCTTGGACTATACTGGACTACGACTGGATCAAACTAACACTAACAGAGTCAGAGGATGGGAGAGTGGTTGGGTAAAATAGGTCTGTATTGATTTCTTTTTGTTGGACTTTACAAAAAAAGTTTAATAAGTGGAGTCAAGTAACATTCACTTTGTTGGTTAGATATTCTAATCATCATCATCTTTTCCCATCCATGCCCTAGACACATGGGGCAGATGAAGTAGAGTCCATCTGTTTCAGAGACCTCTGCATTTGAAGGGATAGTGTGGTCAGCACTACGCCTATCCACCATTGTTTTCAATCATGTGAGTTAGGTACCCATCAGAGCTGGGTGGTCTCAGGGATATTCTACTGACTTAAAAACCAGGATTCAAGCTCTACATCTAGGTCATTCTGTCCTATTTGATATTCTAATAATATATATACAATAAAAACAGAACATACTGTATTGGTTAAGCTTCATTGGAAATTGGTTGGAGAAGGAAACTATTTCTAGTTAACAAATAGAAACTGCTTGTTTCTTTAGCCAGCAAAAAAAATAAATAAAAATAAAGCACAATCTCACATCAAAGTTGAGTCCATAAAGTTTAGCAAATTGCTCAGCTTCCTCAAACCGTTTCTTAGCAACAAGACGCAAAAGCCTGTAAAAATGTTGAATTCAATTAAAATGTCATATAATATACTATTTTAAGTTTAAATATACAAATTATAAATTCTTCTCAATGTGTACTGTACCTTCTCTCTGGGCTTGTCTCTGTATAGCACCTGAAGAACACCTGTGCCTCAGTGTCTTCTCTTCAAGAAATAACAAAAGGTAAACAATTTCTCAAACCATGACAATACATTTTTTTTATTTTCAGAAGTGAACTTAGTTTGGAGTCTAGCTCTAAATAAAGTTACTGCATTGTGGTTTTTAAATTACTTTAAACATTTTAAAATCTAAACATTAGTGATTTTACTCCAAAAAATGAAGGAAATGAAAGAATTTTTATAAAATCCTTGTTATTTTTAGAGGGGGGATGGCATTTTTGACCCCCAGAGAAATGAGTCTTGTTGGCTGAGGACAAAACTGAAATCAAACAGGACTGGAGAAAAGGCCCTTCAAATTACCCCTCTGGTCCCCTTTCAGCAGCTTTGGCAACTAATGCTAGTACCAACATGTATTGATTAGAATTCCTTTGGACTAAACCAAAGGGATTGCGATATGTGGGCATCTCATGATGATGATCCCCTAATCGAAAGTACTGCCACACACCCCTAAGATTCTATGGGTGCATTTACCCAGTCTCTTAGGGAGCCACACATGTAGTTATGTTTTTATAAGCTTATGAGTGTGACTTGCAATCAAAACAGTCAGACACAATACTTGTATGTAAAAAAGAGTATAGCTTACTCATCACAGTTAAATTCTGTCACGTAGATTTCCTCCTGAAATAAAAAAATTCGACTTACATTATCAATTAAATGATATTTTAAAAATGTATTTAAAAAGCTAAAAAATCAACTAATAGGACATAGTGGTCTAGCGGTAGAGAGCTGGACTGCTAACCCGTAAGTCTCAAGTTCGAATCTGGGTTCAAGTCAGTAGACCGCCCCTGATTCCATCCAACTCTGATGGGTACCTAACTCATGCTAGGGAAAGTAAAGGCGGATGGGCATAGTGCTGACCACATTTTCTCTTCATATGCAGAGGTCACAGAAACAAGTGAACTCTACTTCACTTGCCCTATAGACCGTCAGGTTTGAAAAGGGAACTTTACTTACTTTACTTAAAAATCAACTATGCAGAATTAGTACATTTTTTTAAGCAGGAAATTTCAATTTAAAAAAGAATATATCATCAATTTGGTGGCAATTTTAAAAGTATTCTGATTTACTTCTTTTATATTTTAATCTAGTCATAAGTTACAAAACAATAATTTAAAATTTTACTTAAGTCATTTATAGTTTCATAAACGAAGTTAATCAATTTATAATCGTTTTGAGCAGAAATATTTTTAACTCACAAGAGACAAGGGCATCCTGCTTAAACCCACATGACTAGATTCAGTCCTGTACTCAAACCCAACCTTTAGCTGTGGGAGACTGAGTGTGCGTATCAGATGACCTTGCTTCACAATCAGCTTTATATTCTCCAAGCTAGAAAAAACGTTTTTTAATAAAGATTGTATTGTTTAATTATAATCTAAGAGATAATGCACAATAGTGTGATTTTTTAAAAATATTACAATTTTTACATTTTGTACTCTAACATCTTTTCTGCTTAACAAAATAAATGAATGTGTATGTGTAAAAATAAAGCTGATATTTGTTCCCATCATCCAATTTGGCAACAATACCTGAAAAACTGGTCTGATTTGCTTTCCACCAGTCTAAAATCTGTAACACCTGGCAAACAAAATGTGTCCAAAACACAGAGGGTCAGGCTATCCCATAAATAAAATGTTCCCTAAAAAGCAATGCAAAAACATTATGATTATGTATTAAAAGAACATTACGCATAAAAAAGTGAACTTTTTTGATGGTCCATATCTGTATTCTTGACGTACAAAGAAATTTGGTAGTCAGCACTATGTCCAGCCAAGTTTAGTTTCCCTGATTTAAGTCAGGTATCCACCAGACCTGGGTGTACTCAGGAGATCCTAGGGATTCAAGACTGGGAACTGAAGTCAAGAAATTTGGATCAGCAGTTGAGTGTTAAACTATTCAAGTTTCAACCATTCTCTCACACATAGAATATCATTTGTGTTTACTGCATTATGTGTTCTTTTTTTTTAAATTATAAAAACAAAACATGGTTAAAAATGTAACTTAAAACTACTAATTTTGTTATAAAATGCACATCATATAGTTTACAGATTTTTTTTTAAAACAATGGATATTATTAAATATAGTAATCTATTTATTTACAACAAAACAACTAACTGTGACTATATGTGTATGAAAGAGCACATATTGGCTAACCTTTGAGTCTAAAGTAAGATACACCTCATTATTTTCAGTGGCCTGAACTCTAATCATGACAGCATCATCTTCATCTAGATTAAATTAGAGACAAAGTTGAAAAAAATATATGAAGATTGCCTTTCAAGAATTTAAGTTGTCAATGAACATACGAAGTTTAAAAATGTAGATTTATTGATTCTGTAAAAATATTTATTTGATGGTTTTAAGAATTGGCTACAATTTTATAGCATTTTCAATTAAAGCATTTTTAAAAGAAGAAAAATATACCATTATATTAGGGGACCAGCTGTTTATTTCTATTCAATTCTATATTTTGAAAAAAATTCTCCATACTAAAATACAACATCTATGTCAAACAATTTAATGCCACAGCTAGCACTCAGATTTAACTAACAATACAGGCCTAATAAAGCCATTAAGTTACAATTGTATATGGATTTAAGTTTAGCTGTCAGAACAGTAGTGTGTCTAGCAAATATATGTATCTACTGCATCTACGTACTGCATCTATGTAGCAGATGTGTGTTGCACTTACCTGCTGAGCTACTGTCCTCCAGAACAATACCATCTGTGTCAAATCTATATACAGCAATACAGTCAAATCCTTTTCCCTGTAACAAAAAGTAATTAATTAAATAAAGCGAGAAAATTAAATAATATCCTTAGCAATTGAAAGGTAAATAATTTTTATTAGAAGCTAAACAAATTTAATAGACCATCTACATTTCGTCATGGATTATTTCACTTAAATGTGCAAAAAAGATCTTACTTAACATTCAGGTATTGAAAAATGTTTTACAAATGGAGATAGTTAAATTTTGTAAGCAAAAAAAAATAGAATTTGGAGTGTGGTAATTCTATGGAATTGATATGACAACTGCACTAAACTCTCCAGATTCTAGTCCAGATTCAAGCAAAGATGTGTACTTGGATCTTCTGGGCAGTTTTAAACTCACTTACAGCAAGTTTGTTTTCCAAGTCAATTGCTGGTCAATAGAAACTACTAGCAAGGACTTCACATGGAAGCTCTGTATGTCCATGATAGGCAAGGAGTTAATTAATTTAACAAACAAGCAATGAAACACTGGGACACAATTTGACGCTAAAGATATACCAACCACTGTGACAATCCCATTTGGAAATGTAGAGATATCTCTTGTTTCATGGATACATGCCAGTTTTTCCATTTTAACAGCAGATAGATCAATATCTAATTGGAAAATAAAAAAATGATTTTAAAAAAAAAAATTCTCACTTTTATTACAGCTTAATAATATTTTATTTTAATTTAAACGCAGTTTTAAAGTTTTTATAAATCTCTCACCTCCATTTTGTAGAATTAGGTTGGAAAATATCAGCAATGTGTTCTCTGGGCAAAGACAAACTAATCTAGCAATGATTGTAGTTTCATTTTCTAAGGGTAAGATATAGTAAAAAATGTTTTATTCCTGATGAAAATGAGTACTAGAAAAAATATTGTAACATAAGTTTTATTAGAAAACTTACAAAAAAATCATGTCTACGACAAACAAAACTAAGTTAATAACAGAGAAATATTACAATTTCAAACCTGTGACAACTTGAAACAATATTCTATGAAATGTGGTTGCTAAGGTGTAAGCTTTATCAGGAAAAATGTTCTGAAAAAAAAAAGAAAAACAATAAAAAAAAAGAAATTTAAAAAAACGTATGTTTAAATTATTGGCTATTGCATGGAAAAAAGTTAAGGAAAACAATAATAGACTTAAGTAACTAATTTCTCTAGTAAAATCCAATGGCTTATTAAAATTTATTTCAAATATATTTTCTTTTCTTATGCTAACAGTAGAGAAAACTTACTTAAAAAAACCCATCATATATATATAATGAACTCTGATTCCCATATGGCTTAATTTCTCCCATTGATATTGGTATGTCAGCTGCTCACTTAGGCTATCATTTTATCCCTCTGACAAGCAGTACCAGATACCGTATTTAACTTCAATAAAAAACTAAATGGAAACTAATCCAAAGTGTAAGTTACAGTTACAATAAAAAATTTAAAATATATAACTTACACAAGAATGTTTGACAATAAATTTTCCTTCAGCAACAACCCCTATAGTCAAAGTTCCACTTCTGTCACCTACAGCAAGATATCCACCATCTAATATTGCGATTGCATCAATATGGTACTCTAAAAGGAGAAATGGAAAGTATTACATACTTGTAACTTAAATAGTACATGCTGATTAATCAATGTTACAGTAGTTGCTTAGGGTATCATGTATGGCGTGGTCAGGGGTAGATAGAACGCTAAACTACTAACCTGAAAGTCTCGAGTTAGCAGAACGTCCCTGAGTACAAGGGAAAGTAAATGCGGCTGGGCATAGTCCTGACCACACTATCTCTTCATATGCCGAGGTCACAGAAACAGGTGAACTCTACTTCACTTGCCACTTAGACCGTCAGGGTTGAATAGGAACATTACTTTTTTACAGTAGTTACTTATGACACTGCCCAACCACCCCATACCTCTCCACAAGCTGCCCAAACAAAAGACCAGCAACGTGAAGAAATATTGGATGGAAACCAAAAACGTACAAACACATTCACCAACCAGTGAAGTGGTCACCAAGTTTTTAAACTGGTTTATTTTGGTTACTGTTTGTATGTAAATTTTTAAAAAAATAAAATTTTAAAAACGTACTGAAGTTGGTGCAGATCACATCCTGTTCATGTATCACAGCCAGCAAATTATCAAGAGCCACAGCGCTAAACTCTGGACCAAAAGATGTTGATGATACAACTGGTTCCCTCAACACCTGAAGATAGATAGTTCAGTTAAAGGTAAATACAATCAGCTAAATCATATCACTACTTGTATAATGAATGATACTTTTTTAAAGTTAAAGTAAAATAAAGCAATAAGATGATTTTTTAAACATAGAAACTTCACATTAAAAATTATTAAGACCCTATATAATACAAATATTACAGTCTCATTTAAAAACCAAATTAGTTTTATATTGTAGTTTTGTTTTTTATGCTGGGGTATTAATGAAATGAGCCTGGTTTGTAAAGGGGAGGGTGTGGAAGGGCACATGACTTATTAAAAATTATTATCTGAAGTTCCACTCCTGCATTTGAATCCATTGGATATACTTGAGCCTGAGTCCATCCAGCTCTGACAGGTACCTGGCATAAATTAGGCTAGTAAGGGCATAGTACACTTACAAAACCTTTTTTTTTTTACCTGCCTGAGGGTTTAAAGTTAAAGTTAGTTAAAAGGTATGTAATTAAAATAGCAAGCTGGACATTACCCTATCCTCTGATATGAAGGTGGCAAGAGTTTCAAACCCTCCACAGGTTGTAGCATCTGACAGTGACAACACCCATCTGTTGCTTGTATCCAAAGCAGCAGTGGTTGACATGGTTCTTTAACAACTATTGAAAACTGAAAAAATCAAAACGATAGATTACCATTAAAATTAGGTAATCTATCGTTTTAGGTATGTATTAGGTATGTATTAGATTACCTAATAATCTAATATGACCTAGACTAGATCTGGTAATCTATCGTTTTGGGTACGTAAAATCGCCCGCGACTAGTAATGTGAAAAACAGGTGACTCCTTAAATTTTAATAATTATTTCACATTTGGAGGAGGATTTGTGTTTTGAAAAATACAAAAATGTTTCCTTATTTCATTTATGTACCTGTTTTCAAACAATTGAATTAAAACTTTTCAGTAATAAATGAATACTAGCGATGTTTCCAACAGATGCAACCATGCTCATTTACTGTAGCAGCCATCTTGTTTAAGTTCTTTCTTTGTTAACTTATAGCGCGAGATCAGGGGAAGGCAACTCTATTTTACAAATGGCTGCTGTTTATATAACTTTAGCCTCGCAAACACTGCTGTTAAAAGTTAGTTTCTTGCCTATATTGATATATTTAGCTATTGATTTAGGTTATTTATTCATTTATCTATAATATTTGACACAAATATATCAAAATATACGGTAATCTATCGTTTTAGGTATGTAAAATCGCCCGCGACTAGTAATGTGAAAAACAGGTGACTCCTTACATTTTAATAATTATTTCACATTTTGAGGAGGATTTATGTTTTGAAAAATACAAAAATGTTTCCTTGTTTCATTTTATGTACCTGTTTTTAAACAATTGAATTAAAACTTTTCAGTAATATAAATGAACACCAGCGATGTTTCCAACAGATGCAACCATGCTCATTTACTATAGCAGCCATCTTGTTAAAGTTTTATTTTTATAGACTTAAGCGCGAGATTCAGGGGGAAGTCACTCTATTTTACAAATGGCTGCTGTTTATATAGCAAATCTTGCTTGCAGACACTGCTGTTTAAAGTTAATCTCTGGCCTATATTGATATATTTAGCCACTGATTTAGGTTTATTATTCATTTATCTATAGGCTAATATTTGACACAAACATATCACAATAATACAATATACTATATACTTCTATTACAGCCTTGACAATGAGGTAACGTTTTCGTACATTAATAGCCGCGGGCGATTTTACGTACCCAAAACGATAGATTACCAAATATACTTCTATTAAAGCCTTGACAATGACGTAACTTTTTCGTACATTACTAGCCGCGGGCGATTTTACGTACCCAAAACTAAAACGATAGAAGAGATTACCCTAGATCTAGATTCTAGCTCTGCCCGCCCTATACAAACAAGCACAAGGTCAATCAATACTCAGGCTCAATATGTAATAATATTAACATAATAATATGTATCATTTAGATCTAGATCTAGATCTAAATTCTAAATCTAGAAATGTTTACGAATTTACATCTTATGTAGTTTTTAAGCATCCCGCCTACCGGATGTATACAATAGAATTTAAATAGTATTAAATACTTTAAAATGGTACAATTTATTTTAGTCCATAATCTTTTTTATTAGCTATCCGGCCAGGCTATGCACTGGCTTCTGTAGAAGAAAAAAAAAGAAAAAGCAACAACGAAAATGGTATCTATAAAGGATCGTGACGTGTGTATTATAAATATAAATACCAAATAACCCATACAACCCCCCAAACAAAAAAAAAACAAAACAAAAAAAAAACATAATGGTGAAAATGTTATAAATAATAACTGTGTCATCCAAAAAAAACATTGTGTGTTATGAAATATACGCACGATCACTTCGCACGACCCATCGCTCAGCCTTGATTAGCAGCTGTCTTCTGTTTTTGGTTGCAAGTAAATTCAAATATCCAGCACGCGAGATGTGTGTAGCACTATTGTGAACACTTAGATTCGATGCATCCTTCAAATTAAAAGTAATGTGTTGCACGGAGGGGGGGGGGGGTGGGGTCGTCAAATTGATAGTTGTCCCCAGGCGCCGGGAGTGGTTGCTACGCCTCTGTAACAAAATGTTATGAAACTACTGATATTGGTTTTACTTCACTTATCTCTATTTCCGGAAAAGCAAAAATTGTTCAAAGTTCAAACTTTCTAAAGCATATGACTCACGAGTGTTCTTTACGGGCACAAGGAAATAAAAGCACGGAGACTGTAAGACATTAGATAACGGATATTTTTTATTTATTTCGCTACTCCTTTTCTTTATAATTAGCAAATTAAAAAAACAACATTAATGTTTTGTTTTGTCACCCTACGGAAAATAATGTTATAAATGGTTATGCCTTTATAAATCGTGTTGATCATATAAAAGAAATCAGAAATCTCAATTTTTATAGAGCTTTAATTCGCCATTAAAAGTTTATGTAGGTTTAATATCTTTAATGTAAGAAACAAAATTTCTAGTACTCGTGTCTCACGTAAGACAATAGCAAGTCACACACAAAAGCGCAACCTTTTACGGGCCATAGTTTTGTAATATTCGTAGGAAATAAGGACAGATTAATCGACTCAGCCCAGTTCCTCCATCATTCCTTGCCGAAATGACGTAGCTGGAGGAGGGCGGTTGGGGCGACCGCCCCATGCGCTGAACCTATTTTAATGTTAGGAGTTTCTTTACTTTCTACATCATTCTCAATTCTTCATAAATTGTTGCATCGTTAATAGCTAAATAGACTTTATTTAATTGGTCGTAAAATGTGTCACAGCATGCTTAACTGCTGCAATGTTATCATTAATTAATATAATGAAAGATATTACGTTTTAAAACACTAATCTAGGCTAATTGTGTAATGCGAAACCCGCAAGCTTATAGGCTACGTCAGTAAAATCATGTTTCGTGCATATAAAAAGGGGATAAAAATTGTGTTCTACTTTATTGGTATCTCGTTGTTTTCAAAGTTTAATTTGAGAATACTACATTTTTAAGCAAAAATAGATGGAGATGGAATTTCAGCCTACTTTAAACTACACAAAAACAAATAATTTTAAACGTGTTAAAAATATTCATCATGCACGGTCGTGTATAAACGATAAACGATGCGCAAAAATGTTTACAAAAAATTTGTTCACCTACATTCTGCCGGTTTTATGTTTTACGGGCGTCGTAAGTAACTTGTGGAATATCTACTTCCTAAAACGAAAAGGCTTCAAAAGCAACATCAACGCTGTTCTGTTATCTTTAGCTGTGGTGGATCTTGTATTCTCACTCGGGTACTCGTTCATGCATGGGTGTTATGTTGCTGAACTTTTGCATATAAAACTGCCAGATAGCGTAGTATCTCTGGCATTCAATGTTGCATTACCATTTATCCGCTTGTGTTTCTACTCGAGTATGTGTCATGTCACAATGCTATCAGTCATAAGAATGGTCGCAGTTTGCTTTCCTTTTCATACGTCTAGACTCTTCACTTCTCGAAAGATCAAAATTCTAATTACCGCAGTCTACATTTTGCCTACAGTTTTCATTCTTCCAACACATATTTTATATCTAATTTATTGGATCAACTCTCAAAGCCCTAAATTATATTTTGATGTTTGTAAGCTTAAAATATCGCCACAATTGATGTACTTTCTATTTGTGTTAGAAAGTTACATAATTCCCCAACTATTTCTCACGGGACCGCTTATTGTTAACACAACATGCACTATCCTCATCACACGAAAGTTGTGCACCGGAAAATTCAAGTTTACAGGCAAGACTCAAGCTAACAAAATAAATGAGGCAAAAATTTTCTGGACATTGTACTCAATCTGCATATCGAAAATGGTGATTTGTTTACCAGTGACTGTCATAGACAACATGTCTGCCCTGGTGGCCAACTTGCCAGAATCAAATTATGAAATTGTGACGTCATCACTATTTGTGTTATGTTTAGTTAACGCATCCTGTAACGCAATAATATATATCATTCACAACATGCGCTAAACTAGAGTAAAATATATATCTCAAAATAAAAGTTTGTCGTTATTTTTATTATTGTTATTATTATTATTACTAGAGAAATGGCCCGTTGTGAAAGAAATACAACGGGCACTAGATTGAAAGTGTTGTCTTTTTCTATAAACCGAAACCAAAATCGCCACATCAACTTCAAATTTAACCGGAAACTAAAGGTCGTTAAAGACGGATTTTTATCCAGAATTGGCATTTTAACCGGGTTTTACCTTGATCTCCATGTATTTACTGCCCATTCATATCCAATATAATCGTAGTCATACTCCTAAACCTAAACTCCAAATTGACAAAAGTCGCATTCATAATTTCTTTCAGGCAACTCATAGTGGGTGGCCCCGAAAACGGTCTACCGCCCCCTACAATGAAATAGAATTTATATAGCAAACATACTGTTACCAGTGTATGCTGAATAAAGAGAAAGAAAAAACTATTTTATTAACCAAATTGTCAGTTGCATGCTGAATGATATAGGCTACACTTCAAACTACCAGTTCTGAAAAAAATCAGTTGAAAGTCTTTTACATCGATACTGTAACATCACAATAAATACCCATAAAAGCAATTTACCCATACCGCCCTCCCTCCCCCCCCCCCCCCCCCAGATAAAAAAAGCAAAAAAAAACCAAAACATGAACATTATCATGTCAATGGTGTAGATGTTATGAATACTGACTGTTCATCAAAAAAATATTGTGCGTTATGAAATATGCGCACGATCACTTTACACGACCCATCGCTTAGCCTTAATTAGCAGCTGTCTTCTGTTTTTAGTTGCAAGCAAATTCAAATATCCAGCACGCGCACAAACAGTAGATGTGAGTAGCACTATTAAGAACACTTAGGTTCGATACAGTTTGTTCCATTTAGCAAATACATCCATCAAATTAAAAGTAATGTGTTGCACTGAGAGGGGGGGGGGGGGCACCAAAGTTTTATGGATTACATAGGGGATGGAGAGACGCAGGTAACAAAACAGAGGCGTAGCAAAGGGTGGCGGGAAGGTACATATGTCCCCGGGCGCCGTTCCTTGGGGCGTCAAAATGGGTTGAAAAAATATTAAAAGCTCATTTTAGTTGCA